AATACTCAATGGGGAAGCAGGAGCAAGGTGTCTTGGTTCAAAAGAGAGGCAAGGCAGGAACGAGGCATGAGGGTTAAAGGTTGGAGCAAGGCTGGGAGCTGCTGCAGAGTGTGAGACATTGAGCAGCAAAGGCCCAAATGAACGGCCTGGGCTTCTATACTAAGCCCAGATTCCTGCAGGCAGTTAGCTTAATCCTTGCAGCTGGTGCCAATCTGATGCCAGGTGGTTCTGCTGAGGGTTCATGCTGCTTTCTAATATTAAACTACTTCTGAAGAACAGGAAGATGCAAATAGATTAGTGCAGCCCATGATTATAAGCAGCTTGTGGCTTAAGTGGCTCTGTATTTATTTCACTCTCTCGTTTTGTTTTCTTCACTCAACAAATGACTAACCCTCTTAGTTAGGTCCTCAACCTGTACTCCGAGGAGCCTGACCCTTGTTCTCTGGGCCTGCTCTGCTGCTGCTGAAGCATGCAGCTACGGGGACCTAGTGAGAAAGAAGCTCCCTCTGAAAGTAGAGTTCATGCTAATTTACCATGTCACTGCTATGGAGTTAATAGCTAATTATATGATTTGCACACAACTGACTCTGCTTTGAGCTCTGTGACCCTTCCATGACACTTGCTCCACTGGATTCTTCCACGTGATGTTGTGCGTGCCTGAGTGGCCTCTGGCTCCCAGGGAGGCTTCCCTTTCCTCATTATTGCTCCATGTTGCTGTGGATCTGTCAGAGTTTTGAGTGAGGAGGTCACAAAGCAGTCTTGCAGGTTTGGTGCCTAGGTTATGAAGGTAGCTAAGAGCAGAGTTTCCACAAATCCTGAGTATCTCTGTAGCTGCAGCTGCTTCTTCTTGTGTTTTGTGGATTTTGTTTTGGTCTTTTAAAAATAGCATCTCTGCAGCGAGACTGGAACAATTCCTATTGAATTCCTGTTGTCAGATGAGCCAAAAAATTGGCTCATTGTATTTTAGTAAATCAACATTTTCACAAAAAACAAGAGTTGCTGTTAGTTCTCCCCTGCTTCAGGAAAGGGGAACCCTGGGCCATTAATGAGAGAGCTGCATTGTTGCTAACCAGCAAGAAGCAACAGAAGCCACCTTTTCACAGACTTATACTGGTAATACAGAGCAGGGTGCATTGTGGAAGCAACCACTGAATCATCAAATACCCAACAGAAGTGATGGAGCAAGTCAGTAAAGAGGGCAGGGAAACATCGGAGCAGCGAGCCAAATTCATTTCGGGAGACACAATAGTCTATGAGAGAAGAGGCCTGAGCCATGTCCTCTTGACTGTGCTTGATTTTCTGACACTGTAGCTGCCATGGCTGGCTTCCCAGCCTGCCCCAGGGTTCAGAAACAAGGTTTTCAGATTGATTTTCATGTCCTCTGTTTTTTTCTTTCTTGGTTTTCTGCTGCTTAAAATCAGCAGAGATTGTCCATGCCAGTTTTCTGCTACCTGCTCAATGGAAGCACCATCTTGCTTTTGAATTACCTTGCCCCAGCATCCCTTAGGTTAAAAAACAGACATTAGGAAATGAAGTGGATCAGCTGTGGTAGGATGTGGATTTGCTTAATGGGATGAAACACATGTTGCCTGTTATCCAGCATCTGGCAGGGGCCCCAATATGGGACAAGTGACGTGTTCTCCTTACCTGGGGATTCTCCACATCTCTTGCTGCCCTGCACCTTCTTGCCAGGAACTGCGCTGAGTCCCATACCAATCCACGATGTGCTCAAAGGCACAGGTCAGTGTGTGGGAGCATGGAGGCATGGGTCAGTGCAAGGCAGTCCTGGGAACTCTACGGGGCATTTCTGTAAGCAGGGAAAGCTCACGTGAGTCCCAGCATGGAGACATGGGGCCTAGGGAATCCCCAGTGCCCTGTGCCTCCACACTGGGACCCATGCAGCCATGTGCTTCCATGCTGGGACCTACATCAAACTGTGCCTCTGCATGTAGCATGGGTCGGCCTGGCTCCCAGGAGGAGGCATGGAGCAGTGTGGACCCAGGGAGTTCCCAGAATCCCATGCCTCTGTGCTGGGACCCACACTGAGTCCTGTGCTGACCCATGTATCACTTGGAGGCACAGGTCAGCTCGGGTCCCAGCATGGAGGCTGTTGTGTCTTATTGTGTTTTCCTTGTACTGTCCCTTGAAGGCCAAAGCCTTCGTGTTCAGCACTGCAGGGTTGTGTTGCTTGTAGCAGGTTTGCAGCCATGTTCTCTGCCACGAGGAGCCAGCGGCATCCTTGGTTCCTCTCCCTCCACAGGACTGGACTGGGTCAAGTCAGAGACAGAGCAAGTATAAGATCTGCATACGTACACCGATGGATATGATTCCAGGGAGTTATAATAATAAATAATGGTTAGTTCAACACAGGAGTGCCCAGAGTGTTGTTGCTGAACCCACAACATATCATCTGGCGACGAGGATGGGACGCTTTGCTGAGAAGACACCCCTGGATTGTGGGACGACATTCTGAGACCAGGCTGTGTTTTGTGATCAGAGGGAAGTTTTTTTTTCTTCTTCTTCTTCTCTCTGTATTATGGCTGATGTTAGTTAAAATGGCCGCATTGGGTCATATAGAAGAATTTGATGTGAGCCAGCCAGCTTCTTGGGACTCTTATGCGGAGAGGCTATCCTAATACCTGGAAGCCAACAAAGTGGAAAACGCAGAACAGAAGCACGCAATTTCCTGACAGTCTGTGGTGCCAAAACATTTGCCATTGTCCATTCCCTCGCAGCACCTGCCTTACCAAACACTCAGTCTTATGGTGAACAAATTGCCCTGCTAAAGGCACATTTTTGTCCAAGGCTGTCTGTTACCCTGCAGAGATTTCATTTTTTTAAATGGGACCAAAAGGCCAACGAAGGCATAGCAGATTATCTGGCTGAGTTCTGTTGCCTTGCCAAATTTTGTGAGTTCATTGATCTCCTGGATGGCTTGCTTCATGACCATCTCACCTGTGGGGTTCAAGATGAAGCAATGCAACATTGCCTGCTCTCTGAAACAAATTTGACCTTGGCAACTGCACAAGAAAAAGCCTTGGCAGCTGAAGCAGCATCCCATAACGTGAGAGAAATTCACTGGGCATTCTCCAGCAATGTTCACTCACTCCAAAAAGATCAAGAAATCAGATCATCACCAGCAAATTCAGCAGATTATACCCTCACCAGCAACATCACATAAGCCAATTAATCCACAGACATGTTTGAGTTGTGGTGGACAACATAGATGAAGGGAGTGCAGGTTTAGGAATGAGGAGTGTCGTGCCTGCAAGAAGAAGGGCCACATAAAGAGGATTTGCTGCTCGAACGCCAGTTCCGGGAGCCAAAAAGACTGTGGCAAATGTATTCACACCCAAACCATTCACAGATTAGAGTCCTCCCCAGAACATGAGGTACAAAAACCATATTTGATTCAAAATGTTGGTGTCGAAATTCAAGGTTCTGATACGACTCAACTGAGTCGGCAGTGTGACGAAGCCATCAAAAAAGCCAATGGCACTTTATCGTGCATCAGTAGATGCATGACGAATAGGTCCAAGGAGGTGATACTTCCCCTCTATCGGGCGCTGGTCAGACTGCAGTTGGAGTACTGCGTGCAATTCTGGGCGCCGCACTTCAAGAGGGATGCGGATAACCTGGAGAGGGTTCAGAGAAGGGCCACTCGTATGGTTAAGGGCCTACAGACCAAGCCCTACGAGGAGAGACTAGAGAAACGGGCAATGAATCAGAGAGAGCTGCTAGCATTTTCTTTCGGATCAGTCTATAAGTTCATCACAGGGGGCACAGAAGGGAATTGGTGAGTATTTATTCACCAAGGCGCCCCCGGGGGTTACAAGAAATAATGGCCACAAGCTAGCAGAGAGCAGATTTAGACTGGACATTAGGAAGAACTTCTTCACAGTTCGAGTGGCCAGGGTCTGGAACGGGCTCCCAAGGGAGGTGGTGCTCTCCCCTACCCTGGGGGTCTTCAAGAGGAGGTTAGATGAGTATCTAGCTGGGGTCATCTAGACCTAGCTCTCTTTCCTGCTTATGCAGGGGGTCGGACTCGATGATCTATTGAGGTCCCTTCCGACCCTAACATCTATGAATCTATGAATCTATGTAGTAATAAATGGGAAGAAGTGCAAAATGGAAGTGCACTCGGGTTCAGGAGTATGCCTCATAGATGAAAACACATTCTTCCAGTTGTTTCGGCACCCTCTCCCCGAGTTAGTGAAACCTGAGTGTCACCTGCGTGACTACAATGGACAGATTGTAGAAACTGGGTAGCTGCAGTGTTGATGTCCAGTATGGATCTGTTAGACAGCGTCTACCCCTCATTGTCACTAAGGGTTCCCACAAAAGCCTTCTGGGGAGAAATTGGTTCTCACCACTGGGAATCAGTATTCAGGGCGTACACAGTCTCTGCACAGAAAGTCTGGAAAGGCTTGCAAGGGAGTTTCCCTAGGTATTCTCCGAGGAATTAGGAATTTACTCTGGTTCACTCGTGACGTTCCAAATGGATCCTACGATAGCCCCTATCTTTATGAAGGCTGGGGATGTACCTTTCTCACTGAGGCTGAAAATGGATGCAGAATTAAATCGGCTTATCTTCACTCTCTCTCAAGGTGTCCTCAAGGCAATCGTATATACAAGTTGAGCCATGCCAATTGTTCCCGTTTTAAAACCTGACGGCAGTGTTCGCATCTATGGGGATTACAAGTACACTGTTAATAAAGCACTTAAGCAGGACCCGCACCCAGTGCCTGCCGTTAACCAGTTACTGTCTGTTCTTGCAGGAGGGAAGGTTTTTGTCAAACTTGACCTCACTCAAGCCCACCAGCAAATGATAATATATGACAAGGCTGCTGATGCCCCAACAATAATTACACACCGGGGAGCGCTCCGTGTCAAGCGCCTCTAGTTTGGTATTTCTTTGGCACCAGGAATTTTCCAGCGGTTCATGGAGAAAATGCTAGCAGGAATTCCCAGGGTTGTTCCATACTTTGATTATGTGTTGATCATGGGGCTATCTGAGAGTTTCCAGTATCAACTTTCTGGGATATCAAATTGATGCTTCTGCCATTCACCCAGCTGAAGACAAGGTAAAAGCAATACATGATGCCTCTGTACCAAAATGCAGACAGGATCTTCAAGCATTCTTAGGACTTCTCAACTTCTATCACATCTTCTTGAAAGACAAAGCTACCATAGCAGAGCCCCTTCATCGCTTACTGGATAAAGGAGCTCAGTGGAAGTGGACTTGCCAACACAACGAAGCCTTCCAGTGCATCAAGAAGTTGAGGACATCCTTGTTCACTATGATGAGGAGAAGTCACTGTCCATTACTTGTGGTGCCTCGCCATTTGGTGTTGGCGCTGTCCTCGGTTACACTTTGCCTGATGGCACAGACACACCCATTGCTTTTTACTCGAGAACAATGACTTCAACCGAGAGGAATTACAGAGATTGATAAAAAAGAATTGGCAATCACTGGAGGAGTTAAAAAATGTCACAATTACATTACGGCCGCAAATTAGAAATCTGAATGGACCACAAACCCCTTCTTGGAATTTTTACTATGGACAAACCAACTCCTCCTATTTTGTCTCCCCGTATGCAACGCTGGAGCATCATGCTAAATGCATATGATTATACACTTGTGTACAAACCTGGGAAAACGACTGCAAATGCCGATGCACTGAGCTGCCTACCACTACAAATACCTGATTGTGGTACTCCTCCACCAGCAGAAGTCCTCATGCTGGAATCCATGCCAGAAGCCCCTCTTCAAGCTGATCAGATAGCAAGGATGACTGCAGAAGACCTTATCCTTGCCCACGTCCTCAGCTGGGTGTGGAGGGGCTGGCCTGCAGACAAATTGGCTGAGGAATTCAGGCCATTTTCATCACGTCAGCATGAGCTGTCTGCACACAAGGGTTGCCTCTTGTGGGGAAATTGTGTCATAATTCGAGAAGCAGGACACCAAATCATACTGACAACGCTGCATGCAGCTCATCCAGGCATTGTGAGGATGAAACCGCTGGCTAGAAGTTATGTATGGTGGCCAGGTATGGACAATGACATAGAAAGAGTTGTGAAGGAGTGCAGCATTTGTCAAGCATCCCATCATAATCCACCGAAGGCACCAGTATTCCCTTGGGAAATGACAAAGGAACCCAGGTCACGCATCCACATTGATTTTGCTGGCCCATTTCAAGGTAAGAATTTCTTAATTGTTGTTGACTCGTATTCAAAATGGCTTGAAGTGATTACTGTTTCAACTCTTACATCAACTGCCACTATCACAGCTCTCCATCAGCTGTTTGCAACCCACAGGGTGCCCGACACTATCGTTTCTGCTAATGGCAGCGCATCCACCTCAGCCGAGTTCCAAGGTTTTGCCAGCCGCAGCCTCATTCGAACTGTTACCGTTGCACCTCGCAGGCCACAAGCCAATGGGCAAGCTGAGCGAATGGCGCAGACTACAAAAGGATTGTTGTAGGAGACTGGCCTACCAGACTGGCCAGATTTCTGTTTGCTCAGCATGTAATTCTTTGCCCTACAATGGGGTCCAACCCATCGGAGCTTCTTATGGGTCGTCGTCTCAAGACATACCTTGACCGTGTTAACCCAGACCTTGTGAGAGACGTGCAGTTTAGGAAAGAAAAGGAGTTGGACGCCTCATTGGCATCTGGTACCTTACGTCTTTTCGTTCCGCAAGAGACTGTGTTTGCTCGGAGCTACGGGACAGGCCCACAGTGGGTTCACTCGAAAATTGTCAGCGCCACAAGACCCGTATCATATACAGTCCAGACTGACTGGACAAGTTTGGCAACATCATGTGGATCAGCTGCGTGAGCGTTCTCCTACTGATAACCCTACACCTGAGCAATCTGCAAGCACCAGTCCACCACCGACAGACGTGGATTTGTTGGAGAAGTGCCTTCCTGTTTCCACCAATGCAAACCCTTTTCCATCACCGTCAGAAGGAAGTATCGCTGTTGAATCTCCAGATAGGCTGACAGGGCCGTCATCCGCTGAGCCCCTCACTGAGTCCGGTTCTACGGGAAGACCACAGCGGAAGCAGAGTCCTCCCGAAAGGTTGGCTGACTATTCTGTCTAGGGGAAAGGGGTGTTGTGGCTTATTGTGTTTTCCTTGTACTGTCCCCTGAAGGCCAAAGCCCTCGTGTTCAGCACTGTAGGGGGTTCAGTTGCTTTGTGGCAGTCTTGCAGCACTGGGGACTCCAGCTCTCTGCCGCGGGGAGCCAGCAGCATCCTTGGTTCCTCTCCCTCCACAGGACTGGACTGGGTCAAGTCAGAGGCACAGCAAGTATAAGATCTGCATACATTTGCTGATGCAATTGTTAAGATCCACCCTGGATATGTTTCCAGGGAGTTTATAATAATAAATAATGGTTAGTTGAACACAGCAGTGTCCAGTGTTGTTGCTGAACCCACAACATATCAGAGGCACAGGCCACTGGAAATTCCTCGGGTCCTGCACCACCCCCACCTCCTTGCCAGGACCTGAGCCAACCCATGCGTCTGTGTGAAGCACAGGTTAGCAATGGGTTCCAGTGCGGAGGCAGGGGGCACTTGGGGTTTCCTGGGTCCCACGCCTCCCAAGGAAGCCCGAGGCAGCTCTCCATAAGCAAGGAGCCCTGACTTCCCCCACTTACAGAGAAGTGTCCTGAGATTCCCTAAGGCACGTCTCTGAGTGGGGAAAGCCAGGCAATTTTCCTAGGGTTTGAGGGGCCCAATCCTGTGTGGGAGTTCCTAGGGTGCACAGGATCAGGACACTTAAGCCAGGGGGCCTGGAGAGTGTGGGCAACTCTGAGCTGCCTGCACTCTCTACCCACAGATCAAATAGACATTCACTGCAATAAGGCAGCACTATTTTACACTACGTTTTGTTGCAGCTACTGATACGGCGTGACAAGGGGTAGGACACCTGTTTGTTCACCATTTGTGCTGCCATAAGCATTTTTATGGTAGCACAAATGTGACATCAGGCAACGTCTGTTTATACCCGTAGATTGGACATCTTGCACCCATCAGCACATCTGCAGGAGACTGCTCTACTGGGCCAAGGATTTATTTGGTTTTGTTTTCTTGGGGATCAAAACACACAAATATAAAAAAAAAACCCTAATGGGCAAATAACTCTGGTTCTGGAGAAGTCTGCCTGCCCCAGGCATAAACCCTGGAAGCCTGAGGAGCCTGGCAGCCACTGTGGGGTATGGAGAAGCCAGGTGGACTGACTTTCATAGAACCATTTTGGATCCTGGGCTCTTGCCTGAGTTCCCTCAGACCCTTAGTGAAATGGAGCTATTCCTGCAGTTTTCTCAGAATTTTTTCTCACTAGATCTACCCAATTTTACTTCTCAGGCATGTTAAAAACAGCCCAGATTCAACCCCTTGAACAAAGTTTGCTGTCCCTGGAGCTAGTCTGGTTCAGCCCCCAGACTGGCTACATATGCCATGTGCAGGGTCGCGGCCAGCACATGCTGCAAGCAGCACATGGTTCCAGGGCTCACGCTGTACACAGTGCCTGCACCAGCCCAGCCCTATGGACTGGCTTCAACATGTAGAGCTGGTCTATGGCTCCAATCTGGCCCACAGACCAGCCTCATGCCCCTCATGTGGGGCCAGATGAGTTTGACACACTTGGGCTACACGATTCCAACACGTTGGTGCTGGAACCCAGTGGTGCTTGGGAAAAAAATGTGCTATTGCAGTCTCAAATTTCCTGTCTACCAGCAGCAACCTGTGCTTTGCTGGTTTGTCTGGGAGTTACTGCTCTGAGACTTTCCAGTGCCTTCTTATATCATTGCATCCTCTCTGCACAAATACGTAGGTTAGTGCTTTTCTTGTACTTGTCTGTTGCAGAAAACATGCTTAAAATTTTTTAATTTCCATGAAGCCTTGTGAACCTGATGTTTCACAGTGAGTTTCCTCTGCAGAATAGCAGGTCCTGTTTATTACATACACACGTTAGCCCTCTGTGCCACAAATTAATTCCCTCTCTCCTTTTTTTTTTTGTAGTGGCTGAAGGATCCTGGTCCTCGAAATGAGAAGAGGACTCTTTTCTGCGACATGGTGTGTTTTCTGTTCATTACGCCGCTGGCAGCGATCTCAGGCTGGTTGTGTCTTCGTGGAGCACAGGATCACTTACAGTTCAACAGCCGGCTGGAGGCCATTGGACTCATAGCACTTACTATAGCACTTTTTACTATCTATGTCCTTTGGACTCTGGTGAGTGCACGGTAGAGGGTAACAGATGCCAAATGCCACAGAGTACTCACACCCATGGCCCTTTCACTTTCAAAAGGGGATGGAAAGGGTTCCGATTTTGGAAGCCAGAGCTCATTCCTAGGACTGAGACATAAGCAGTCCCACCTGCCACCCCCCTCCAACTATCCAGGCCCTGGTACAGAACCAAACTCTTGCCTGTTCCCCTTGAATATGTGAAATGTTAAAATTGTAGACTGAAGTCAGTGACATTTGACAGTGAGCAACTGCCTGTGCCTACAAACTTACTGACATGGGGATGGCACTGCCTTTGGGCAGTGTGTCTAGTCTGACACAACAGTGGCTGGGTCACACCCACAGCATCAGCACTTGTATGGGGTAGGCCAGCTGACATGCAGAAGAGCCAGGAGTCCATCTGCTCCATTCATCATATCACTCCAGCATAGGTGGGAAGGGAGACAGCTGGGATTGCTGAAATTCCAGTGGGGAGTTAGCACGAGAAACTTCTGAAAGCCTCTGAGATGGTCGGTTGCTACAGAAACATCTGTTTAAAATAAAATTCCAGCCCAGCTAGGTGAGGCTTGCCCACCTCTTCTTACTGGAGAAAATGTAGTTTTAAGGGTGTGAACAGATCTAACAATTGTATCAGTATCAAAGGATACCAAAACTGTTAGCACAGGCAATGTGTAAGGGAGTTACGGGGGGGGGGGGGGGGCCCCCCCCCCCACCATGTGGGAGCTCTCCACCCCCACCCCCACCGCCAACAGCTCTCGGGTTCCCCCCAGACTCAGGAGGCACCAGTCACCCGTGACTGTTAGGATGCAGCTGTTAGTTCTGCATGACCCCATAACAACACAAATGGAGCAAAACCACTTCAGCTTTAACCCACAATTAAAGCTAGGGTGATTGAGCTAACTTGTATCTCTACAGGCTCAAGCACATAACAGTTTCAGCTGTTATGGTGTAAAGTACAGTTACAGTGTAATGGCTAAAA